GTAGGACGTGTCCCTGTGCCGCCGTGTCCCCATGTCCCTGTGTCCCCATATCCCCATGTTCTTGTTGTCCCCGTGTCTCTGTTGCTGTGTCCCCATGTCTCCATTGTCCCTGTTGTCCCCATGTCCTCATTGTCCCTGTTGTCCCCATGTCCCCGTGGTCCCCATGTCCCTGTTGCCTCCGTGTCCCCATATCCCTGTTGTCCCCATTGTCCCTGTTGTCCCCATGTCCCCATTATCCCCGTATCCCTGTGTCCCCATTGTCCCCATGTCCCCATTGTTCTCATGTCCCTGTATCCCCGTGTCCCTGTTGTCCCCATGTCCCTGTTGTCCCTATGTCCCCATGTGCCCATATCCCCACTGTCCCTGTGTCCCCATGTCCCCATGTCTCTGTATCCCCATGCCCCTGTTGTCCCCATGTCCCCGTTGTCCCCATGTCCCTGTATCCCCGTGTCCCCGCGTCCCTGTTGTCCCATGTCCCTGTTGTCCCTATGTCCCCATGTGCCCATATCCCCACTGTCCCTGTGTCCCCATGTCCCCATGTCTCTGTATCCCCATGCCCCTGTTGTCCCCATGTCCCCGTTGTCCCCATGTCCCTGTATCCCCGTGTCCCTGTGTCCCTGTTGTCCCCATGTCCCCATCTCCCCATTGTCCCCATGTCCCTGTTGTCCCCGTGTCCCTGTTGTCCCCATGTCCCTGTTGTCCCTATGTCCCCATGTGCCCATATCCCCACTGTCCCTGTGTCCCCATGTCCCCATGTCTCTGTATCCCCATGCCCCTGTTGTCCCCATGTCCCCATTGTCCCCATGTCCCCGTGTCCCCACCCTGACCCCTGTCCCACGCAGAGGTGGGTGAGCTGGGGGGACAGCTCTCCGGGGGACAGCGGCAGGGGGGGGGGCCCTGGTGAGGGCCCCTCGTGTCCTCGTCCTCGATGAGCCCACCAGCGCCCTGGACGCCGAGAGCCGGCGGCAGGTGGGAGGTGACACCCGTGTCCCCTCGGTCCCCCTGTCCAGCAGCCCTCTGGTCCCTGGGGGTCCCCTGGGTCCCTGATCTCCATATCTCCTGGGTTCCTGCATCCCCTTCGTCCCCAATCCTGTGGCCCCTGAGGTCCCTTGTCCCCATGCCCCCTTGTCCCCATGGTCCCCAATCCTGGTGTCCTGTAGGTTTCTGGTCCCCATGTCCCCTGCGTCCCTCTCCCAGCAGCCCCCTGATCCCCACGTCCCCTTGGACTCAACTCCCAGTGTCCCCTTGGTCCCTCGTCCCCTTAGTCCCCGTGTCCCTTGGATCCGTGTACCCTGTGGCCCCTTGATTCCCACTCCCC